TTGAACCCCAATATCTGTTTTTGGGTTTTTATTATTTGTTCTACACCATTGTGTTAGTCCTGAATGCCCTCTTTCCTTCCAGGCTGTGGTAAGTGACACTGGGTAGATTTTTAACAAGACTGTCTGATGCAGGTTACTGGTCTTGCATACTTGAGTCACCCAAACTGTAACAGTGTCATGTGCTTGTCTAGGAGCCCTGTCCCTCATCTGCCTCCTGCCCTGGGCCACCTACCTGAAATAGTCCCTGTCCCAGGTCCCCTTCTAAGACACCTCTCCTGGTGATGCAGATGAGGATTCAGAGACTTCAGGCTCAGCTCCCCAAAGCTGGGGCTGCACTCACTCCCAGAATACAAAGACCACACAGTATTTACCTATCCAATAGTACTTATATGTGCTTCCCTGAGCGGGCTAGTGAAGAACACTCACTGTTCCAGGGTACCAGAAAGGTGGATAAGGTCACCTGCCGTGTGCAGGCCATGCCCCTTGTCCTGCTGGCATCCTCTTGAACACTTCCCCACAGCAACCCACTAGACTGTCTCTCTTTGTGGGAGTCTTGGTACACAGGGCTATGCTCCTGGGACAGGGCCAGGAGTCCTCTCTAAAGGAGATACAGGCGTGAGGACTCCTCCTGCTGTCCCTGGTGAGTCAGCTATTTTCACCCTCTCTCTCCAGGCAGGTAGATCTGGTCCAAGGACAGGCCAAGGACATTTACTGTCAGGGAAGGGCCTGCCTTTTGGGTGTCTTGCTGCTGTGTTCTTGCTGTGTTCTGGATAGGCATGTTTAAAAGTCCATGTGTCAAAGGCTTGTTTCCCAATGAGTGCTGTTGGGGGGTTGCTATGCACCTGTAGGAGGTGTCCTTGTGGGACAAGGAGCCCTTCAGTCATTGGGTAGGCTTTAAGAGGGATAGTGGGTCTCTGGTCCTTCTTCCTGGTGTGATCTATACCATTTGTTCTTCCATGTGTTCCCTAACATGTCTGTTGACACTGTCTGGTACCCCCACCAAGTACCCAAAGCCACGGTCTGCTGGTACTGGATCAGATCCCCCAAACCACATGTCAAACCAAGCCTTTTCTCTCTGAGTCAGTGTCTTACAAGTCATTATCCTGTTGGAACAGCCATGGGGACTGATTCACAGACCTGACTGCAGTACCGTGTCCTCACCACCCCCACACTCAAGGGGCCATGGCTGGTTATGGCTGGGGTTTGAATTGTGGGGACAGGAATGTGGTATGGCAGTTGTGTTTATTTATGAGGAATCAAATCATGAGACCAGGTTTAAAAGGAACTTAATGTCTTTGCTCTGAGCACCCGCATCAGTAGTGGGGGAGTGCTCAGCCAGGGGCCCATGGTCCCACATGATCCACTGGGATATCCAGGATGGAGATATCCAGTACCTGTCTGGGCCTTGGTGAATGGAAAGAATGTGGTGTGCAGCCAGATGAGGCCTGCAGTAATATAAGAGCAGTGGGAATTGACTGACTGGGTTTTTAGCTCTGTTTAAGCCCCTGCCTGGGAACACAGAAGCCAACCCAAAGAGACATGAGATGAAGAAGGATCCACACTGTAGCCTCACTGCCCACTATGAAAACATCAGCTACTAGTGTGGCCCCAGGGATTTGCTTCTCTCTCACACCTGGATCTCAGGACTTTCCTGCTCCATCCATCCTTCTGGCTAACTGAAGCACACAGGTGACCACACATTTGTCCCTGATACCATTTTACTCGGTTTCTCTGTCTTCTACCCCAGAAGCCTCACTGGGCCCAGCCTCTGCCTAAGCTGTGTGTCCATTGTTCCTCTTGTCTTTTTTTCTCTCTAACCTCTGTCCCTACCCTGTGCTTCAGATGCAGAGCTGGGCTCCATTGTGGTCATAGGATTCCAAACATTCTGCTTTATTGGCTGCAGTCTTTGGTTCCAGTTGTAATAGAAACAGGTGACATTTTGGTGGATAGTAAGTCACACAGACCTCATGGAGGAGTAAGTGTGATGGGGGCTGCCCTGGGGGCTGTGGTCCTTGCATAGGGCTCTGCTGATCTCAAAGCCTACCCAGAAACACTGAGAGTCAGGAGACGGGTAGGACTTGGAAGACTGCCTGTGGCGCAGCCACTGTTAGGGGCTCTGCTGATCTCAAAGCCTACCCAGAAACACTGAGAGTCAGGAGACAGATGGGTAGGACTTGGAAGACTGCCTGTGGCGCAGCCACTGTTAAGGACACTTTTGTCAGGCACAGCTAAGAAGTGCCTGAGACTACCTGCTCCTGCAGAAGGATCCATCCACAGGTCCCCCAGCCAAGGATGCTCCCAGACCCACATCCCTGACAGCCCCATTGCATCCCCTGGCTGACTTTTCTTTGAAGATGGAGCCAATGTCTCCATTGTTTCTCCATGTTTCAGTCTCATCTGACTGTTTCAGGCCACTGGAATGTGAATACCATCTCATCTTCTTTCTGGTAGCTTCAGGGGCCTCTCAGCTGCTCAAAGCCCCTGCAGAGGTGACTCATTCCTAGACATGAGAGGTGTCCTTGATGCGAGATTGTCTGGCGGTGGAGTGCCCCCGAGGGAGACGCAGCAAACACTCTTGGTCTCCAAGCGTGCAGAGCCTCTGTAGCTAGAATCACCGCAGAGGTGATTAAAGTTGTCATAGCATCTCTGTGTGGTGAGGATATAACCTCATGAAATACCTAGCAGTGCAGGGAGGCTGGGGAGAGCAGTGGGAAGTGTCTCAGGCTACCCCTTGAAGAGCTCACACACAGATACATAGACACATGCACACTCCATGACTCTGACAAACACCCACTCACAATTCACACAGTACACACAACATGCATGTGCACTCACACAGTAATGTGCACACTCACAGCACAGTCATGTACACGCTGGCCACATGCATTCTCATGAAAGAAGGAAGGGTCACGAGAAAGGAAGCCTCCTAAGCTGGCATTAGACAAGTTTCACAGTCTAAGGGAGGTTGGTTAGGAGTCGAGGGCCCTAAAAAGCAGGTATGCTGCAAATCACTACACTTGCCCAGCAGGACATAAGTGGAGTCTGCTGCAGGATTTGTCCAAGTGGACTCATGGCTCTAAATCAATGTTGAAGCATAGCGAGGTTCAATATTTAATGCTGAATTTCTTTGGTTGAATGAAGAGGCGTCTCTGGTATCTCAGAGCCACCATGGAAGAAAAGATGTGAGGGGCAGGCCCAAGGGAGCAGCCTTGGATGGTGTCCCATCCTCTCCCACACTGTTCTTCCCTGTTAAGACTGAGAAACACACACGAATGCTATTGACCAGCCTGACCAAGGACAAACAATGTAAAACACTGTATTTTCCTCTGGATGGTCTGCATCTACAGTACACACACAGCATGGTTGGTTCTGCACACGTCAGCTACGCAAGCAGGTAAAGAAGCCCGGTAGTGAAAAGAGCTGAAACAGCCTGGTGGTCCCTGGCTACGCACCTGGAGGATGGGTGCAGAATGCTGCTTTAAGGGACAGCATCACAGAGGAGCCTGTAAATGTCAGATCTGCCTGCCAGTCTGCTTACTCAGATACTGAGTGTCTGCCTCTAGATGGCACTGCCCACCACGGGCTGCAGAAGGTGCCACCTCCAATGCTCTTGGAACTTAGCTGTGCCTTGTTCTCTGAGAGGAGGTTGTCAGCAAGGCTATGCTCTGTGAAGCAAGTCACAGAGACTCGTTCACATCTGTAGAGGAGCCCAGTGCTCAGGGCTATGAAATACACTAATTACTTGTGGGTGCATATGAACACCAGTATGTCTATACGTAGGTATTGCAGTATGTATGCATACGTGTGGTGGTGTGCAGGTGTGTGCACAGGCATTTTAGTGGTGAGCAGGTGTGTGGATGCACATGTCTGCGGTATGCATAGTGTAACTGTAACTGTGTGTAGGTATGTGTGTTTATACATGTGCAGTGTACATATATATGTGTGTGTGCATATGTGGTGGGTGTATGTGTGTGTACACGTGTATGCATATGAACCACAAATTGGAAAGAGAAAGATAGAAAGGAAAGGTGGACAGTCTCATAGGTTGGCATCTCTGGACACATGGGCTCTCACCTCTGTGAGGACCTCCCCTAGGACAAGACATTTGCTTTTACAAAAGGCTCCTTGTTGACATCTATTCTTTGAGGTGGGACTTTGTATCCAAATGTTCATGAAAATGACAAAAAAAGAAAAAGAAGCTTTCACCCGTGAGGACCATCACACCCTGGGAAGCCCCTCCCTGTGGGACAGAGCACTTGATTACTACATGCTCACACTGGAACAGAATCCAGTCTGACGGTGGCTGACTTTCAAAGCCAGGTCTCCATCTAAAAGTGTGTGGGCATTTTTCCAAAGCCTAGGCAGGCTCAGAGAGGCTGGGGCCACCTCTCTGAAGACCAGGGCCATTGGCTGCTTCCTGTCCCACAGCTCCACAGCAGGCCCATTCTTAGCTTCCAAGATGCCCTCGGGCTATCAGGCCAGGGCCATGTCCCATTTGGGTGCAGGTGGTGAGCAGCAGAGGGGCCAGGTGGTCCCTAGTGAAGATGCAGGTGTGAGATAACACAAGGACAACAGGGGACAGGGAACTGCCCAGTGTGAGCGTGCTCTGGAGGGCCACTGCTGTGGTCCCTAGAGTCAAATCTAACACACATATACCAAAGGCAGGGACACCAGCTGGAGTCTTTGTGGAGGTCTCCCAGCTTCCCTCTTAGCAGCAAGGGAAGGTGCTATAAACAGAAAGCAGGTGACAAGCTTATGGAGAGTTACCTCCCGCCTTGGAACCAGTGGCGGTGTGTGTGGCCCAGTGTTCTCCAGAAGGGCTCTTTCACACTAAAAGAGGTCATGGCTGAGGGGCGTGAACCACTTCTGAGCCACTTGGCCACTTGATGGCCCTCCCAGCCCATTACCCTCACAGAGCAGGGTGTCACTCTCTGCTCTGAAGCTCCTCCAGGGATAGGACACGTGGTGGCACTGGTGAGGGAGTTGTGTTCCCAACCTGGTTACACTGTAGTTTCATTTTTCCAGGGTCCTGTTCGGATGTTCCCTGTCCCATCAGTGCCAAATGGCAGGCCTTCTCGAACATCACCCTGGAGCAGCCCATTCTGGCTGGGGCCCCCAAATGGCAGGGACTGTGTCCTTCGTAGCATCTCCAAGTGGGCAGGGCCTGGGGACAGCCGTGGGGGACAGCCATAGAGCCCAGGGCTAGTGTCTCCACCCTCAGGCTGGGTGACCATGGGGAAGGGATCAGCTTGGGCACAGCAGGCCAATGTATGCACTCCTACTGCTCCCTCAAGAGAGCTGGGAGGGCTGTCTGTGTGCGAGCTGTGGGGGCTGCCATCCAGGCTGGAGGGGATGTGGTAGGCATACTCCCTCTCGGCTGCCTGGTGCCGGCTGAAGTAGTGGGGCTTAGTTCTGCCCTTGATGCATCTGTGCAGGTGAGGGTCATGCAGGTGGGGATCGTGTGGGAAGGTGTCCTCCTCAGCCATGTGCATGTGGGCCTCTTCCTCCATTAGTTGCTCACAGTGCATCTTGGCACAGCAGGGGGTGGCAGGTGATAGACAGCTGACATGGCCCTGGGCAGCCTGCAGGTTGGTCATCTTACAGTGGCTGGCTGGTGGATGGCCAAAGCCTCTGAGTTTTCCAGGGCATGGTGAGTCCTGCAGGCAGGCTGTATGGCCCAGTGCATCCCCATTGGCGTCAAGTGTAGGGTGGGCACTGGGCTTGGTGGCGGAGGTGTCTCCCCTAGAGGGGCAGCATGACCACCAGCACTGCCATACATCCTCTCGCTTGGCACAGTGGTGGATAAGTACGAAGAGTCCCAGCGTCACACAGAAGGCGCCGTACAGACAGCTGAAGATCATGTCCAGGAAGTGGCCCTGAGACACAGCCAGGGCCCCAAAGGTCCATGTGGCTGTGAACAGGAACAGCGTGAAGGCGGCAGCACGCAGCTGGGCCTTGAAGGAATGCTCATTCTGCAGCTGTGAGGCAGCCAGGGCATCACAGGTGGGTGGTGGTGTGCCAGGACGTACCCCATACCGATGGCTGCTCTCTGACACTGCCAGCCGCTGCTGCTCCTCAGTGCGCTCTCTGAGCTCATACCTGCGCTCTGGGTGACGTCGCAGCTGTACATATGTGCAGAGGAAGTATACACAGGTGACCAGGGCAATGAAGGCAGCCGGCCCATAGAATGCACCCAAGCTGGGTTCCCAGGCCATCCAGCAGCTGCAGGGAGAAGTAGGTAAGTGTGGGTATGTGACTGGAGTAGCTTGCCTCCCCTACCCATCAGGACTGAATGGGATTTCCTACAAGGGAGTATTTTAATTATGATAAGGACACAGATGGCACCGGCGACTGGTCAGCCATGAGGTTTGGGTTGATGGGGACAGAATTGCAGTCTAGATGTGTGTTTGGATCCAGATGGTTTGTTAACTCTGGGTGCTGGTCCTCGGGAGGTGGGGAGGGGTGGGCCAGAGGGAGGTCTGGGTGGAGGAGGCGAGGAGGTCCGCTGAGGCGGGCAGGAAATTGTCCTGGATAAGGAGAAGTGGGCAGAGACAGGTTCTGATGGGCAGGGCATGGGGCCCACTATGGCTTGAGTGAGGGCTGGACATCCTGGGATCCTGAGGAGATACTGAGAATGATGAAGGTCCCACCAGGGCTTTGAGCACCTGTGGGGGTAGGGCTGGGTGTGTCTCTGTTCCAGGCATATGCCATGCTTAGCTGACTTATCTGGTCCCAGACTATAAAAAAAGCAAGGACTTTTGTGTCTGAGGAAATAGAGTCAGTGGTAATCTGAGTTGTTTTGAGAAGGGCTCTGCTAACACAGAGGCTGGGGAAACACGACCCCGAGTGGTCGTCTGGGCCCAAGGTTTTCTGTTCATCTCAAGGGCTTGCCTTACTATAGGTGTCTTGGAGGACACTCACTAACAAAGGTTGATTATGACATGTCTGTGGGGCACCTTCCCTGCCCTCCCCAGGCCTGGGCACAAAGTCGGCAAATTCCTCAAGTGTCTGCGATGACCCCAGGAGGAGCTGGACAATGCCCCTAACTTTTCACTGGCTCACAGGTAGGAAGTACTCACTATGCCACGTCCTCATCCTCGGTCCCATAGTTTCTGATGTTTGTGGCAGCTGTGACCCCACAGATGATGAAAGGGACCCCTCCGCTGATGAGGTAGAACCTGCCAGAGATCAGAAGGCTGACTTCCCAGGAATGGCCCAAATCCTCTTAGAGAAATGAGGCCATCCATCCTCCCACTTCCCAGATGCAAAAGGGAGGTGGCTGGATTCCAGGGTCATGCTACCCTTTAGACAAGCACGAGGGACCCCTCCGCTGATGAGGTAGAACCTGCCAGAGATCAGAAGGCTGAATTCCCAGGAATGGCCCAAATCCTCTTAGAGAAATGAGGCCATCCTCCCACTTCCCAGATGCAAAAGGGAGGTGGCTGAATTCCAGGGTCATGCTACCCTTTAGACAAGCACATGTCCAGTGGGGGAGCTTGCTCTCCTCCCACTTGGTTCTGGCTGGCAGTGGCTCACGGTGAATCTGCAGACCCAGTGAGACCTCATGGAGCCTGGGCTGGGAGCAGGGCAGATACAAAGGAACAGCCAGTATATCCATAGGGCAAGCAGGTTATGGAGGGGATTGAGTGGGGCATTCCTATCCTAAGTGGGGTCCAGTTGGATTCCCTTTGGGTCTGTCAAAGCCAAAGCCCAGTCATACACCTCCTCTCCCTGTCAGCAGAGCCCAACAATCAGTGGACCAGTGTATTGTTAGACCTAGTTTTAGGGTGAGGAACCTGGTTCACCTTTGAGCTATCCCTGGAGGGACAGCTGATCACCCTGGTAGGAGTAGGCTGTGGCATGGACTGACCTCCCCTCCATGAGCCTCAGATGGTAGCTTCAGTGAGAGTGATTCAGTGTTTAGCCCACTGGATACTTCTTATTTGAGTTCAACTCCACTGAGCATGTGTGTCCTAGGCTTAGCCTGTGCACACACCGACTCTGACATACCAGGCATGGTTGATAGCGTCCCACTATGTTGAGCCATGTTGTGGCCACCCCAGAGAGGATTTCCATGAGAGAGTGGTTGCTATTACAGACACGTGAGTGGACAGTGTTTGAGGACAGCCTGGGCTGCCTAGTAGTTAAGCTCCAGGCAAGCCAGTGCTACATAGAAATACCTTATCTGAAAAGAGACAAAAACCAAGCGCAGCAGGTATGCTCTCTCACAAAAGATTAACAACAGTTTGTGCTTGGGTGAATTACACTGGAAGGAAGGTCCCATGACATTCCTCAGGGTGGTGGCATGCTGCATTGAATGGAGCTGGTCACCAGGAAGGAAGAATACAAGGAACACAAGGAATACAAGGATTGGGGAACTAGAAAAGATTTGTTTTCTCTTTAACGTCTTCAAAATACAAATGAGTATTAAATCAGAGTTTGACATTCCGTTAGTTCATGAATAACACGGGAGGTGATACATGTGGCAATTGTGACATAAAAGATAAGGTGGAGGTGGCCTTGAGTTACAAGGTATCTCTGGATGTTTTATGTGACATACTACAATTTTATTTTACTTAGATTGTGAACAGATTGGGCATTTTAATCTCTAAGGAGGCTGCAAGATGCTAAGAGAGAAAAGCTAATTAATACATTGAATTTGAAATAAAAACATTGTAACAACACAAATGTAGGAAGAAAAGGAGGAATGAAAGAATAGAGACCACACCAAAACAACATCACAAAAGAAGCAGAAAAAGAAAAGAGAATAAAATGGGGACAATCTAACCAAGAGAAAAAAATCAGTTACATTTCAACAGTCTAAATATTCTACCTCAATGCTGAGATTGTTACTATAGACAAAAAAGAAAGACCCAGCTGGGGACAGTATAGAGTAGAAGAGATGGGTGGGGCTGGAAGTGGACTTATGGAAGGAGTCATCTCTCAGCCCCTTCCATAAGCTAGTGGTTCTCAATTTGTGGGTCACAACCCGTTTGGGTTCACACGACCCTTTCATAGTGACTGCATATCAGGTATTTACATTATGATTCATAACAATATCAAAATTACAGTTATGAAGTAGCAATGAAAATAATTTTATGGTTGGGGGGTTGCCACAACATGAGGAACTATAGTAAAGTGAGAACCTGGAATGTAAAAAATAAATTAATTTCACACACACACACACACACACACACACACACACACACACACACGTATATATGTTGAGAGCCACTGCTGTAAGCCAAGGAAGCCTGCCAGGCCAACATCAGAAGGGAAAATAGGCTCAGATATGACATGACACCTTGCATTTGCTAGGGAGGCAGCATAACTACCAAGAAGGCACCAATAGAGGGTTCAAAATACCAGAACAAATGTTGTCAGATAGAAAGGAAAAGTAGCAGTTCCTAAATTATAGGTGGTATTAAAGTTCCCTTTCTCAGCAAGAGACAGAACAACTAAGCAAAAATCAATGAGGAAATAGAGGTCATGAGCATAGTATTTGAAGAAGTCGACCTCAAGGCTTCATGTAACGTATCTCACCCTACAGTGTCACCAGTGTAACCCAGCTCCAGTGATGGTAGCTTGTTCACCATGACATCAGTGACATTTACACATTATTCTCCAGATTGTGTGGCTTGTTCACCCAAATGAGAGTAGTTACCCACGCATCTTCATTTAGTGCATGTGACCCATGAATCATGGTGACCATAATATTTATAATCCTCCAGGGTGTGTTTTGACCATGTCAACCATGACATCTTCACATTCTCCTCTGCTGTGTGTGACCTGTAAACCATGGTATCTCTGCATCCTCCTCCAGAGGATGTTCACCATGAAAACTGGCATCTACAGTAAGCACCCATTTTCCTCCACTGTGCATGTACTGATCACCATGACAACAGTGACATCCTGTTTCATTGTATGTGGCCTATTCACTATGTTAATAATGGCATTCATATACCCTCCCTCACTGTGTATGTGGCCTGTTCACCATGGTAACCATGGTATCCACACATCCCTCTCCACTGGGTTTGTGGCTTGTTCACCATAACAACATTGGTACCCTATATGCACTCCTTCATTGCACATGGCATATTCACTATGACAACAATGGCATTCTTCAGTGTGTTTGGGCTCTTCGCAAGGTATATGCCATGAAAGACTCAAACATTCAGAAGATTTGAGATCATGCAGTGCATATTCTAGAACCACAAATAAATTAGATGGGAAGTTGATAACAATATTATAACAAAGTTACCACAAACACTGTGGACTCAAAAACACACTTATAAATCATTCACGGAACAAGGAAGAAATCATAAAGGATCAGGAAGTACCTTAAACAATACCAAAGAAAATATGACATACCCAAATTTTGTGGCTGCAGATATATCAGGACTGAGCACGAAATTTATAGTTTCCAATCTTCCATTAGAAAGAAGAGAAAGATCTGAAATTTAGTGATCTATAATTCTACCCCAACAAGGTAGAAAAACAAAAGCTCAAGGTAGGCCCAAGGTAGCCACATGATGAAGACAAGGATCAGAGAAAAATGTTGAAAACCTGCTCCTCCACAGCAAAACCAGTGAAGCTATAAACTCTTAGACCAAGTAAAGAGAAAAGTGCTGACGAGATGGCTCAGTGGGCAAAGGACCTTGCTTTGCAAGCACAAGTTTGATCTCTAGGACCCAAATAAAGGTGGACAAAGTGAGAACCAATTCTTCCAAGTTGTCCTCTGACCTCTACACACATACCATGGCTTGTAGATCCCCCCCACATATTGTGAACACACAATAATGATAATAAAATAACTAAAAAGATTGTTTGAGAAGATTAATTCCCAATCTTAAGAAACAGTTATTATTATGCACCCTGTAGACACATTGCAAGAATCAAAGATATATATAGTGAATAACTGCAAGCCAACAGATTCAGTAACTTTGGGAAAATAATATATTCTTTGGGGAAAAAAATAAAACCAAAAACATTAGGAAATCTTGCTGCAATTGATACCTGAAGGCAACTGGAAAATCAGTTCTCTCCAATAGAGTGGCTCTGGGTATATCAATTGCACTCCAGGCAAGCCCCTTGCCCAAGAATATGTTGTTGGCCAACACAAAACATCATGTTGTTTTGGGGGGAGTGAGGGTGGACTTTTTGTTTTGGAATTTTTTTTATATTCTTAATTGTTTTTTCATTGTTTGTTTTGATTCTCATTGTATGTCTTTTTTGAGAGAGAGAGAGAGAGACAGAGAGAGAGAGAGATAGAGAGAGAGAGACAGAGAGACAGAGAGACAGAGAGACCACAAAGTTAGGTGTGTAGGAAGATGGGGAGAGGATCTGGGAGAAGTTGGGGAGGGGAAATTATAATCAAAATATATTTCACAGAAAAAAGAAAAGAAAATCTTGCTGTGCCTGATGGCACATACCTCCTCTGGGAGACAAAGACAGGAGAATCTGTGAAAGTTCAAGGTTAGCCTGGACTACATAGCAAGATGTCTCAAACAACAAAACAAAAAACAACCTCCTCAACCAACCAACCACCCACCCACCCAACCAACCAACCAACCATCCAACAACCAGCCAACCAACTAACCAACCAATTAACCAATCAATTAAATTAACCAACCAACTAACCAACCATTTAATCAGTTAAATTAACCAACCAGCCAAACAGCCAACTAACAAACTAACCAACTAAAACAAAACAAACCAAACTTTATTGTGCTCTGTCTAATAATAATAACAAAAATGGTTTTAACATCTGTATACCCAGTGAGTTTTCTGGTAGATTATACGAGTTCGTTCAGATGGCAAAGTGGGAGAGGTGGGCAGGAAAATTTTCCTCAGATTTGAGGCCAGTGGGACCTGATGTCAAAACCAGACATAGACATCGAAGAGGTCAGCTATTTGTGCCTGTAGTATTTTGCAACAACTCTCTGGTAATGAATACATAAATGAAGCCCTAACACGTTACAGAAGCAAGACTGGTCTCAAAACTCTGGGCTGGTTTGTTAGCCATACATAGTAGCAAAGTAGTTCAATGTATCAGCAGTGTGGATAACACAGTGAGCTCATTCTCCGGATCCAGGAAAACCATCTAGTGGAAATAGCATTCATTCATTCCCAAACTCAGCCAACCCTTGTCACCTGGGAAAAACTTGTACTAGATGAG